ACTGGATTTTGATATTTTAATCACTTTATTTCTGTTAATGTTAATTAAGGGTTCTTGGGCCAAAATACCAAGAAGGGTCAGTATGTGTTTCATAATAAATCAATCAAATGGACATGCATTAAACAGGTCATGGACTAATTTCTGTTACATGTCATATGTCAGTCAGTCTCTGGCTTGGAGTGATTTACTGGTTACTCTTTCTGGAAGGAGAACGTTCCTTCCCTGGCACTTCCCTCCATCTCCTCCCATTCCACATGGGGCTGGCACAGAGCACCCACCTCAGGCCTCTTCCCCCAGTATCTTCCTCTTGCTCTAGGTTATCCTCTCCTCTCTCGCCACCAGGACCTTTTTTAGGTAATTGCCAAACTGGAAATGGTTTGATAAACTTATATCTGTATGTTATTATTTCTGTGCAAAGGAAGAGGAATATTAAAGTAACAGTAATAGTTAACACTTATTTTTAACTCTGTGCTAGTCCTTTTTACAATGCTTAGCATGTAATTTTACATTTAATCATCACAATAACCATGTGAAGATGTGCATGCTTATATACCTACTATATGTTAATAGATGAATAATAAAAAAGCATTAAGGCAGTTTTCCTAGAATCACAGGGTGAGTGAAGGCAATCTGATTTGAGACCTTGTGTGCTTAATTAACTAATGTGCTGATAAGCTGCCTTTTTGAGAAATAGCCAAATGCACCTCTATATGTGGTGGTTTTAAACTGCGATGGTTAGACTCCTATCACAAGTAGAACTGCTCTTTGGGTAAGAGGAAAGTTGGGAGTGAGGAAATCAAGTAGATAGGGCCCTGACTTCCCTCCTCTGTCTCTGTAAAACGTTTCTGTGCAAACACACACAGAAACACACACACACACACACACACACAAACACCACAAACACGCTAAGCTGAGCAGACCTTCTTTTATCTGTTTTCACACTGGACTTCCAAGTAATGTTTCATTTGAAGAGTTTCTCCATAAAAAACAAACACACTTTGAAAATGACTGCCTGCCACAACCCCACTTATCATAGTGCATTCTTATCTTTCCCCCCATTGGAAATGCTAATGTAACTCAGATGTTAGCTGAGGTCATCCTTGTCTCTGAGGTCACCCTGGCCTTTGAGATTGAAATAAAATTGCCTCAATCCCCCATTTCATATCTCCTAAAAGGTTCCAATGCCATCCCCCAGATTTCTACACATTCTTGGACCTATTCTCATGGGTAGTTCTTCCTGGCGAACTCTTGACCTGACTGCATATTACCTTCTCTGGCTGCATTTTTCTCTGTGCTCCATACTGACCTAGATGTGGAACTCAATCCTTTTTCCCTAACATACAACCCCCTTCATCCCCACTTCACTCCCACAGAGAACTGTTCATGAAGATTTGCAGGACAATAGGTGAGGGTTTATATCCCAGCAAAGCATTTAAATAGGATATCAGGATCCATGTTCTTAAAAATTCTGAAGCCACTCTGTCACTGGAAGGCTCTTCTTGACTGCATTCTTGTGCCTCACCAGGTTGGGCCCCCCTTACTCCCTCACCTGCTCTTCCTCCTGTTCTTTCTCCTCTCCTTTCTCTTTCTCCTTGTCATCCATCAGTTCAAAATTCCTCTTCATTTCGTCAGTGAGGTATTGATTGCTGCTTCCTTCTTACCAATGCCTCCTTGAGCCTCACCTCTTTTACCTCAGGCAACTCATTAGGGTATTTTTCTAAACGAAGACAGTTTTCTCTCCAGGAGAAACTGTGGTGCAAACTATTAAAATAAATTTATTAAGATGAATTCCCCTCAGCCCCTGCAACATTAACACAGTATAGCGGATTGGCAGGGTTTAAGCAGGCTGATTAGCAAGCCCCATCAGAAGCTAACTTAAACCCTCATTGTAGAATGGTCAGGGTCCATGTGCAGGACAAGTGGATGATTGCTTTTTCCATGAACAATTTATTAAGAGTGATTTAAAAAAATTACTAAGCAATTGCTCAGCGCCAAGCATGGTCCAAGGCACTTCGCATTCTTTAATTGAAATTCACACCCTGTGAAGTACATATTTGTATTTTCTTTTAACTAATGATAAAAATTAAGCAATTTACCCAAAAGTCACAGCATTAGAAAGTAGTACAGCCTTTGATGGGCCCTGCACTGACCCTCCTTGTTCTTAACTACCATACCATGCTATTCAACCACCTTGTGGCCAAAAGGACCACATTTTCTAAATGTTCCATTCTGCCTTCCAGCACTCCTTGGTCTCCTGAGGAACCTTCCCCAAGACACTGTGTTATCTTCCTGTCTTTAAAGAGACTTTCTTTTTTTTTTTTTTTTGAAATGGAGTCTCACTCTGTCACCCAGGCTGGAGTGCAGTTGCATGATCTCAGCTCACTGCAACCTCCACCTCCCGGGTTCAAGCGATTCTCCTGCCTCAGCCTCCCAAGCAGCTGGGACTAAAGACCCGTGCCACCACGCCCAGCTAATTTTTTTCTGTATTTTTAGTAGAGTCGGGGTTTCACTGTGTTAGCCAGAATGGTCTCGATCTCCTGACCTCATGATCCACCCACCTCGGCCTCTCAAGGTGCTGGGATTATAGATGTGAACCACCACGCCCGGCCCGTAGAATTTTAGGAGTATAGCTATTTTCAACTTTCTTCTGGGAATGTGTGCTTTCTGCAGGATTCAGGAAAGAATGAAATGTGCTAAGTAAACATTTTTATAAACAACAATGAGAAAACTTATGGGGAATGGGTTCTTGGGGTTAGACAAACACGGGTCCAAATCCTAGTTCTGTGTCTTACTCTGTGTCCTATGCTAAGTTGCTTATCTTTCCTGAGCTTCCATTTCTGTATAACATGCACAATCATACCTGCTTCTCTAGCTCAGTTCTTGGCACATGGAAAATGCTCAATAAATACTAGTGTCTTTCTCTGTTCATGTCTAGTTGAAGTTTTTCGTATCAGCATATTTACTGAGTATTTTTTCAAAACATCAAGTGGTTTCAACACTGGAAGTTGAAGGAAGGCAATATGATGAAAATGTTCTATTTTTCCAGTTTTCCTTATATTTTTATGTGCATTGCAAAAGTATTGCAAAGTGCCAACAAGGGGAGGCCTGTTATCCCACTCCTACTTTTGGTGAAGGTTGAAAGGCATGTAGACAAAGAAGAGGATGTGGAGTCAAGACCCATTGTTACTGCTGGAAGGTGTCCAGATTCTTGGTGTTTTGAACAAAGAATTAGACAAAACGTACAAACAAAGCAAAGAAAGAATGAAGCAACAAAGCAGAGATATATTGAAAATGAAAGTTTGCTCCACAGTGTGGGAGTGGTCCTGAGCAGTCATTCAAGGGCCACAGATACAGAATCTTCTTGGGTCCAAATACCTGCTAGAGGTTTCCCATTGGCCATTTGGTGTTCATCCCATGTAAAGTGGTGGCCCACAATCAGTCTGATTGGTTGTGGAAAGCAATCAATCAGAGGCTGAAGTGAAGTTACAAAGGTCACACTCCTATGCAAACGTCTGATTGGTTGTGGAAAGCAACCAATCAGAGGCTAAAATGAAGTTACAAAGTTGCACTTCTATGCAAACAAAGACTTGGCCCGTGATCAGTCTGATTGGTTGCAGACAGCAGGCTGAAGTGAAGTTTCAAAGTTACATTCCTCTGCAAATATCTGATTGGTTGCAAAAAGCAACCAATCAGAAGTACTTTCAATTTCCCATCTGCCTTTCAGAAAAGGTAGGGGTTTGCAAAGGGAGTAGCCTCTGGTCCTTTTGTTACTTAGGCATGGAAAATTAGGGTTTTTCTTTCAATTTAGTTCTGGGAAGTCAGTATGAAATGGCCTTAGGTTCCCTGCCTCCAGACACTATTCCCCACCTCACCCGTGACATGAAACTCCTCTCTAGGGCTAGATGGCAGGGGGCTCTCTAAATGTGTCTGACAGGTATTGAGTATGGCATTGACATCCTCAAATTGAAACATGTGACCTGTATTTATTTATTTGAATATAACAGTATATTGCCTTTTGGACTTTGGGTTTCATGTTATCAATGCTTACTATATTGAGTGATTTTATATCCAAATTTATTGTGCAGTAGGGTCCCCCCTTTTCTGTGGTTTTGCTTTCTGTAATTTTGGTTGCTGAAGTCAAGTCTAACTGGAAAATATTACATACAATAAGATATTTTGAGACAGAGAGAGACCATATCCACATAACTTTCATTATAGTGTATTGTTATAATTGTTCTACTTTTATAAATTAAACTTTCCACTGGAGTTTTGGGACATATCCCCCTGGATAAAGGGGACTACTGTAAATGTGTTGTTGTTTAAATAGGCTTATTGAAATGCAAGGTGCTCACCATAGGTATGCTAGGTGGTTGGATCATTTAGCACCAATCCAGTGATTTGTCACATCTTTTCCTCAATAACCATACTCACAAAACATCTACACTATTCTTGTTTAGGACCACTGGTTTTGTAGCTGTGATTCAGTAATCAGAGTATGCTGTTTAAATTGGGGGTTCCTGTCAGGTGGGACATCTAGATCAGGCCCTCTGGCCAGGTGAGAGCACACTCAGGAATGCCTGCCATCTTGAATGGAAAGATCTCACCTGACATTGAATCCTGCTCTTTTCTTCTTAATACCAACAACTGCAAGTTTAAATGAAGTGTGTGTACAAGATAAAATAATCTTCCTCCTTTCAGATTTTTAATTATCTCTGAAAGTGGATAGCATTCAACACTTTAGAATTTACTCAGTTTTGGAGTGTGTGTTTTGTTTTTGTGTGTGTGTGTTTCTTTGTTTGTTTGTTTGTTTTTTGAGATGGAGTCTCCCTCTGTCACCCAGGCTGGGGTGCAGTGGCACAATCTCGGCTCACTGCAACCTCTGCCTCCTGGGTTCAAGCGATTCTGCTGCCTAGGTCTCCCTAGTAGCTGGGATTATAGGCATGCACCACCACACCCAGCTAATTTGTTGTATTTTTAGTAGAGATGGGGTTTCACTATGTTGGCCAGCCTGGTCTCAAACTCCTGACCTCAGGTGATAGGATTTACTCTGTTTCAGCATCCTCATTGTACAGCCTTGTTTCCCAAACCTTGCTGTCCATCATGCCTGCCAGACTCTTAGGTCTCTCCTCAGGTTCTGACTGAGTTAACTTGGGATGGAATGCAGGAACCCTGGCCTTTCTAAAGCTCCTTCTTGAGTATTTCAGCACAGTTCATGCCTATCTTTCAAACAGCTACATACAGCCTGACACTTACTAAGCATAATTTATGTGGTTACAAACAATGAATGATGTATTTATCCAGAAAGAGAAAAACCCATGTACCACTCTTCAGGGCATGTCAGATCTAAATAATTTAGCCAGTCATTTGACATGAAAGAATCTGTCACACAGAGTAAGTAATAAACCAAAAGTGAGGGTAGATGCTCTCCCTGAGGGTTGTCAGAGGGTCAGGGAGAGACTCTCAGATGAAGAGCTTTGAGGAAAGCCTTGAGAGTAGACTCTGAGTTTGCCACACAGACAAGAGGCAGAGGACTTTTAGGATATAGCAATGAAAATAATGTGTGTGGATCTCAAATAATCCTATGTGGCAGGAATAGGGAGTTGGATAACGGCAGGAGGAGGTGGTCAATTTTGAAGGCCATTGTACAGGAAGAATATGTTACTCAAGGTCATATCATCTGTCAGTAACTGAGATGGGAATAAAGTTAATTTATTTGAGAAGGGGCCAGGGAAAGTTATTGTTCAGAATTAGCGATGAGAGTTAATGACTGCCTCCTCTGTCAGATTTATGTATTAAGAAATACTAGTTTTTAAATCTATAAGTTCAATCCATATGTAAATTACATGTAAGTTTTTGCATATGGATAAATTTTTTGTTACATTAAAATTACCCTGGAAGGATAATGTTCATGACCTTTGACAAGATCCGTTGATCCACAAGAGGAGCTCATTTTGTGACCTGCAGAGCTGGAGTGAGAAGCTACAGGGTTTGAGAAGAGACATTCTAAATTTTTGAGGCCAATTTCATTGGAGAAATAAAAACGTAGCACTTCAGGAGAGAACGGTTTTGGGGGTAACCTGCCTGTGTTGCCCGTGACTCCTGACTTCTTGCTTCATGATTTTAAATCTATACTAAGGCGTGGAACACACCTCACTTCCTCCTCAACCAGCCAGAGCAGTCCCACGCTTTGCGCCTGCCATCACTTCCTCCGCCCTGTTCCTTTATGCTACAGGGAAACCTGTCTCCTGTGAGCTGCTTTCTCATTTCATCTACTATTTCTCCTTCAGTGCTGTTCCTTAGCACAAATCCAAAGTCCTCTAATACTAGCTACATATGAAGTCACAACACAGAGGGAAGCCCCTGCCCTGCTCCCTGTTGACCCTCTGGAAGTGGGGAACTGGGTCCTTTTCTTCTTCATCCATGGCTTGTTTAGTTGACATTATAAAATACCTGCTATCTGTTCACAGCTGCCTGACCCAATGGAGAACCGAGATGCTATTTTAGAAGAAAGAGTGACCAACAAAAAGGATAAGTGGAAACTAAAAAATAGTAGGACCTCTTTTTGTAATATTGTTTTTGGTTAAAAAAAAAAAGATTTTGCTTGTGCACGATAGAATATTGGAACATGGGTGCTATCCTATCTCAGTAAATGGAGAAGAGGACTCTTAGAATGCGAGTATAGTAAATGTTAAAAAAACAAAAACACAAAGTAACTTTTTCTGACTAACTGTATGCCAATAACTTTCTGAATCCTCATGACAGAGGGACAATATGATACATCTTCTGTCCCCCAAAGGGCTCTCAGTCTAATAGAGAAGGTAAATTTATAGAAAATACTTTAAAAGTTGTATAATAAAGTACACACAAGATTCTGAGCTAGCAGAGTGGGGGTTTATAAACTGGTCTTTGTGTCTCCGTGTCTTTGTGTTTGTGTGTGTAGATGTGTATGAGACCCACATGCAGGGTCGGGGTGGGGGGTGGGGGTGGGAGACTCATTAATTTCATACAAAAATCTTATGATATGGGTATCAGTATCTCTGTTTATAGATTAGAAAATTGAGGCTCAGAGTGGCTGTGTGATTTGACCACATCATCTAGGACGTGGTTACTTGACATTCTTACCCAAATCTTTCTGACTGTAAAGTCCAAAGTTCTTTTATTTTACCCCACTGCTTCCTGTCTCCCTAACCCTGTGTTCTAGAATGATAGGAAAGAACAAACATATGAAAACAGGAGAGAGTATTTGTTTTCATGAGCACTCTATTGTGGCATAAATATATTGCACAGCTTTACTTTCAGTGATTCTGTGTTGTTGGGTTTTTTTTCTTTTTGTTTTTGTTTTTTCAGTATTATTTCCATGTAACAAGAAATCATTTAGCTTTCAACATAGACTCCTGATTTGATTTATGCTTAATAACACCCTTTCTTCCTCAGCTTGGCTGTGTATGGATGGTTATGGGTTTTGGATGTAAAATGCATCCTGAACAGAGCAAAGATTACCACGTGACATTTGTTTTTCCTGCCACGAGCTGTTTAGATTTGGTTTTACAATTCAACAAATTCAACATTTGATGGTTTTTACTCATCAAAGAACTAAATCAGCAGTTTCCCTACAAATTGGCAAAAGCTAGTCCTTTCATGATCTGAAATCCTGTGCCTGGATTGGATCTGGATAAACATAGAGGGGAAGAAGTGATCCATGTTTAGACCTTGCTTTTTGAAATCAATAAGGTAATGCCACAGGTTTCTTAGATCGGATTCTGCCTGCAGATGTCCATCTCTCCTGAGACATAAGAGCAGTTCCATCTCAAAAGCCTGGGTAGGGTTTGACAGAGGTAACTAGAAGACCACTGAGTTAAGATTCCCTTGATCATATACAGGCTCCTGTCTTCTCCTAGGACATAGCTAGAAGGCTAGAAGACCACTGAGTTGATATTTCTCTGATCATGGACAGGCTCCTATCTTTTCTTCTAGGAAAATACAGATTTACCTCATTGTTACATGGATTTGAACTTTTACTTTTGAGAATCCGGGGTCATCCCCAACTTGAGTTTTGAAGTTACTGAGGTCTTTCTTTGGACTCTGACCTTAATCCCTGCAGATGTTCCCAAGCCAGAGCCCACTGTAACTCTTCTCCTGGAATGCTAGCTCCCCAGGAGCAGGACCTCATTTTCCGCAGGATCTCCAGGACCTGGAAATGGTGCTTTGTACATACTATGTCCACCATAAATATGTGTGGGATGCATTGGCACAGGTGGACACTCAGGATGAACCATTCTTGTTTGACATTGTCTCCCTCATGGGATGGAAGTCCTTATTCATTCCTGCCCTGTGTCAGCATCATTCTGAAGCCTTGATAAGCTCCTGTGCTGGCCTTTTGCTGGAAAGTAAGAATTATGGTTTTAGACAGTGGGCCTGGCATGTAGTGTATAACTAGTAAATGCCAAACCTGCTTCTCTGAATCTTATGCCTCTGAGTCTCCTTAGATGGTCTGTGACTGCCATGGGTGGTGGTGTTCAGGCATCTGTTCCTCTGTACTTTATTTATTTGTTTTATTTTTCTTTTTTTAGTCCATTTTCATCATCTGTACTTTATTTTCCATTTCCTAGTCACTCAGCATGAAGACATACTAGATAGACACGAAAAAGGAATATGGAGTTACCCCACCAGTTTCTTTCTTCTGACTGTCTTTCTTGCTGTTCTATGACTGAGCAAGAAGAAAAACAATGTTATGTATCTGTTTCCATACAGATAGTGTAAAACCATATTCATTCATTCATTCAAAAAAGATTTGAATGTCAAGTATATGTCAGTCACACAAGTAGTTGAAAATATGATTTATTTTTCACTGCATCTTCAAAATAGAGATTTAAAGTCTTCCATTTAGAACTTTTAAGCAAAAGAGACTAGTATGCAAGTTCACTTGAAATTGAAGTGCATGAGTATTCTTAAATGTCACTAAGGTTGCCTAAATGTAGTGATCTGTACATTTCGTGAGTCTGGATACAGACTGTATTATAAAGAGGTTTTTCTTTAGCTAATTAAAAATAAAAGTCAAGCCATGTTAGTTCATCTTGAGTTTCTAGTGGTGCCACATTCATTATACACATATTTATGGGAACACAATATGTACAAGGCACTATCCCTAGGAGGATAGCTTCAAAAACTATGACAGAGAGAGAGAAGATAATCGACTGATTTATAAGAGATTCATCTCATAGCATAAGATAACTATATTATAAAATTGGCTAGAGGAGGAATTGTATATATCTTACTCATCCTTTTTATCACCTGGTGAAGACGCTCAGGAATTTTGCCTCTGAGTTCCTGTGCAGACACTTTTAAATAATATCGAAACCGAAAGTGTCTCTGTCATTTTCTCTTTTAAATCTATTGAATACTTAGTATTGAGGATCAAAAGAACATTTCTCGTTCTTTTTTTAAGTAAAATAAACATTCAATGATATATCCCATATGCCAAAACAAATTTCTTTGCAGAAAGATGGGCCTACACTGAAATTGGCTGACTTGGCTCAGGATTTTGAACATATTAAAGTTTGTTCACGATAACTGACATGTAAACAAGTATTTATATGAAGTCTCTTGTCAGTCAGTGCATATGTCAAATCACCTGCACTTTTAGCCAGGAAAGTGATACTTTTAGCAGGTGCTTGGTACAAAATCAAACAATCAGGACTTGTCTTTGAAAATTATAACCAAAGAGCCAGTCCTCACCTGGCCAGAAAGTTGTTTATGCTATGAATCTCAAGAAAAACCCACCAATTCCAAAGATTTAAAGGCCCCTAAAGGTACAGTTTAGGGAGATCTGTGAAAGGTTCATGTCCTATGTGAGGAATACAATGTGTGTGATTTTCTACATATCTTCTGGTTTTGCATAAATATACATGCATATATATTTAAAAGTAAGGACTGAATCAAATATTTATCAGACCTTTGCATTACCTGTAATACTTGCATCATAATATTATTTTTAGTTCTTTATTAGAGCAAATATATCATTTTATGCAATGATAGACTTGTTTTACTTTCTTCTGTCCGTCATGATAAATATGAAATTTTATCTGTGAAAATATAGGGATCTTCATGCTAACTCGAGGAAACAAAAAGAGTTACTTTTATTCTGATTCTTGGCTCTATGGTCAAAATGGCAGAGTGACTACACATGGGGTACAAGGCAGGGAGTGCCTCTCCATCTACTTGGAACACAGAGAGTTGGGGCCCAAAAAAAAAAAAAAAACCCGAAAAAAAATAGAGTTTCACTTATAAAGCAGAATTTAAAATGAAAATTTCTGCCAAACAAAAACACAGTGAAAAAAAGAAATGGTGAGCTGGCGCTGAAGTGCCCGGAGTACTGACTGAGACTAGAAAGAGGGAGCTAATCTAACCCCTGTCGTCCGAACCCCATGAAACACTAAATGCAACCTACCGCAGTGCGTCTCAAGGGCTGCTGCTCTGTATGATGTCAAGGGCTGTGGTAGAAACGACGTGGCCCAGAGAGGAATCCGTTTCTTGCTCATTCCAGTGGATTTTCCAATGGTGCCTCCATGTGATCCCACAGGAACTGAAACTATGATTTCCTACTGGCAAGATCCTAGACTTCTAGTATGAGACCTGGTTCTGTGCTGTAGACTGTGGTGTCAGGGCTGAGGCAATTATGAAATTACCCACTACAAGTTTAGAAAGAGATAAAAACAATGAAGCAAAACAAAATTTACTAGGCAAGAAGAGCTTACAAGCCCAAATTTTAAAACACAAGGGAATTTAAGGCAGATAGCCAGTGCACCCAAAAAATGGGAAGCGTTAACACCTAAGGAACTAGACATTATCATGCATTGCTCAAGTTATTTAAAAATTATTTTATACATCTTTGAAAAGATAAAAAAGGAACTGGTATCCAAATTAAATAGTAAAAAGAGATTGTCAAGAAAAATCAAATTTTTTGAAACGTATGAATGAATACAGCCAATAACTCATTACAAATCTTGTAAATAAAATTTTCATACAATTTAAATGTTCAAAAAAGACTCTAATTAGGAGAATAAATAATAGATCAAACACAGTTGAAGTGACAGTTAATGAAAATGGGACTGAGGCTGAGTGCGGTGACTCACCCCAGCAATCCCAGCACTTTGGGAGGCCAAGGTGGGTGGATCACTTAAGGCCAGGAGTTCAAGATCAGGCTGGCCAACATGGTAAAACCCTGTCCCTACTAAAAATTCAAAAATTAGCTGGGCATGGTGACCAGTGCCTGTAGTCCCAGCTACTTGGGAGGCTAAGTCATGAGACTCACTTCAACCCAGGAGGCAGAGGTTGCAGTGAGCCAAAATTGCACTACTACACTCCAGCCTGGGTGACAGAGCAAGACTCTGTCTCCAAAAAAAAAAAAAAAAAAAAAAAAAAAACACACACACACACACACACGTAGGGATTGAGTCAACTATATAAAATATTGCAGAAAGAAAGACTTGGATATACTATGAAGGAGAAGAGCATCAGGGGATGAACTGAGACATGAAATACAGGAATTT